TATATATATATATATATATATATATATATATATCATTGTATACAAGATGTCTTCATATGTGAGATATATAATGGTGATTTCCGTCGTCTACTCTGCTGGGGTTTTGCCTGATGGCGATTTTCATTGTTTGCTTCTTTTGATTCAGTCGCGCTCGAAGAAGAAGGGGCTTGCGCCTCATTGCCTCTGCTTAGACTTTCGCCTACTGTGTTCGTCATCTCCCAACTTCCGTCGTTTAACGTCTTCTGCTTCGTCTGCTTCAACGTCGAGCTTGATGCAGAAAGAATTATGTTGTTTTCCACATTGTCTCAGCTTCTGTCATCTCGCATCTTTGCGTCTTCTGCTTCGTTTGCTTCGACCTTTGCCTACTGCATTCGTCGTCTCCCAGCTTCCGTTGTTTCGCGTCTTTTGATTCGTTTGCTTTGACGCCGAGCTTGAAGAAGGGGTTCACTCTTCAATTTCGTCTGTTTTCGTTCCTTCGTCGTGCTGTTTTTGCTCTAACGCTGACTGCCTTCTCCACTGCTCCTAACGCCTTGCCTCTTTTCACCGACGATGGCTTCTAACAGAACTTATGCTACTGCACTTGCGGGTCTTCACGTCTCAGGTATTCCTAAATCGTGTTTGTTCCCGCCTTCTTTTGCGCTGCTTGAGGGAGACGAGTTCTGTTACCTCAAGAAAGCTAGTAGGAAGAATATAAAATCATCCAATCTTCTTTACTAAAGCCAAATGTTATCAACTTGCTTCCTCATGTCCCAAAATGGAGTTTGATTCGTAAGGAATTTGAGTTTATCTATCTTGTTGGAGAGTGGATAATTGGACTTTTAGATAAGCGACATATCCTTATTCAACTTAAAAATAAAGAAGATTACACACGCTTATTTGCTAGAAGGCTAGTTTAGATTGATAATAAAACAATGAAAATTTTAAAATGGACTGTGGATTTTGATCCACAGATGGAACCACCAACCATACCGGTCTGGATTCGCCTCCCATGTCTTTAACTTCATTATTTCGCTCAAGAAGTATTGTACTCCATTGCTTCAGTCTATAGTAAACCACTCAAAATGGACATTCCTACTTTTAATCTTTCACATCCTTCAGAAACCAGGGTGTTTGTTGAAAGGGACATCACATTAATCGCTCATGAGGAAATTCGGTTAGGCTCACAGCAACAAGGATATTGACAAAGAGTAGTTATGGAGTCTTTCGCAATGTATTGCTCTCACTATCGTATGTCCGGTCACTCAAATTTGCAATGTCACCACTTACACCCCTATCTCAAACCAAAAAAACAAGTTGCTCAATCTGATTTAGAAATCCCCCCTCCTCTTAATCCTCTTGTTCATGACAAGGATTCCTCTGACCCCACTCACATTGTGGTAACTGTACCATCTAGTCCGCGGGTTGACGTTGTTGTAGGTTCCACTACCCCCATGGGAAATCTTCCAACTACTCAGCCTCTACATAATGCTCAAGATGTGGGCTTTTTTATTCCTCCTGTAGATCCTATGTCGGTGGTGGCAGAGGAGACTTGTCATACTTCACTTACGCAAGAACCTATCATTGATGTAACGGTTGGCAATCT